GCCTAGCTCCTTATCGTACCCGGTGGAAGTCTAGTAGCTACTTCAAACTATCGTCAGTCATGAAAAGATCCGGTCAAATAAAACTATATTAGATCATCTATGAACAAGTCACGAAAAGGAAAAGAATCGGCGACAGGCCACATAAGGCCTACATTTCAGCGCCGACATCATTATGTTATGTTATGTTATGCTGCCAACAGCTGCTTGCGTTGTTGAGAAAATAAGTCAGGTTTAGGACTGAGGAGGCAGCTAGCCGGAAGTTGTTCTGTAGGCAGAATGAAACGAAATCAAAATAAGAAGGCTTTAATTTGAATGGTTGTTGCTGAGTCGCGGCTGTTGCGCGCTTTACGCTGTTGACATGCTAATGAGATAAAATGATTTGGTGGTAATTTTTAGGGTGCACGACCACGGAATAACTAACGCCTTAGTGACTGGATTCATAACTCAAGAAATAAAAACCTGAGCATTATTGTTTATTGAGGGTCACATTCCAGGTCTTATATAGAGCGAACGAACATTACATAATCATAACTGAAGAGTTCCCGCAAGCAAAGGAAGATGTCTTTATGACTTTGGCCTTGACTGAACCAAATGTTGGTTATGATTGGCTTGGCATCACTAGCGCCTTAGTGGTCGCTCAGGGTGCCGCGAGGAAGGTGCAGTGAAGAGACGATGCGACCTAAAATAGTCTCAAAAAGAAGCATGCAAGGAATTACTTTACCCTGAAACATATTTTGTATGCGATTGGGTTGAAGGCTTATTGTGTCAGAAGATCCTCTCAGCCTGATCTCTGTAAAGGACCCTGAAACATACAGTGCATGATCATTATATTAATCAACCATAGGTCTTCGTGAAGTGGACCCGGTAGAGGTTATTGAACATAACTATTGAGACTATTCTCTAGCCCTAATTTCCTGTAACTTATTATCTGTACGTCTTATTAACACGTTTTTCGTAACTTAGCTTCGCGTTTGTTTGTGGATTTGTTTGTTGTTAACATTGACAACGAAAATTAGCCCACTTCTGATTGCTCTAGAGATCTGAAATCCGGCATGCAGGCTATTTTCGCCTAACAATTTCAGATACAATCTGTAAAAACTAGCAATTAGAGACCTAAATTAGCTTAATTGAGTAAAGTATATATATATATTATCTATATAGTATAACGTGCGGGCGCTGACGTTATAGACGAGCAGGCGCTGACGCTGCGTATCATCGATACGTACGTCAAGTCATACTTAATCAAGTCTTGATCGTTTTTCTTGTGGGCTAAAAAGTAGAAATAAAATACTTAAAAAACTTTAAAAACACGTTTTTCTTGTGGACCAAAAAGTAGAAAATAAATTATGGCTCGCCCCAAAAAACGTGTGTCGGGCTGTACGTTCACCATAAAATTTCCAAAATTCGTGTGTTGTGTGCTTTTCGCTTTAATCATAAATCTGCCCGACACACGTTTTTTGGGGCGAGCCACAATTTATTTTCTAC